AGAGAAAACCACACCCCCAAACCTCAAATGCACTAAATATGCTGAAAACTAATAATTATGTTTGGCTAAATAGTACAGGTGGCATAAAGGGAAGGCATGAAAAGTATAGAATTCAAAGTAGGTTTGAACCTGATACTGAGAGGATGCAAATAGTTGAGAGAGTTCAATTTCTAACAAACTCTATTTGTCTTTAAGTGCTATGTATATATATTTCTTGAAATTTTTGAAAATTAATAACTTGCCTAGAGATTCCTTAGCCAACACATAACTCTGAAAGCCTTTTCATCGGAAGAAAATGTGCTTTTGTAACTTCTCCTTTATTTACTCTGCCAATGCCTCCCAAAATTCTTGCACCTGGGTTTTATCTACGCTTGTTTTCCTCAGAAAAGAGAAAGCATAAGTCAAAATCCAATGCAGTGGGTAGCTCTTAGATATAAAAGTAGCAAGAGTAACTAATTCCTACAGGAAAAATTTACAAGAGTGTCTGATCTGGTAGGATAGCCTTTTAACGTGCAAAACGTCATCATCTCATGATCTGAAACATTAAAACTTCCATTAAGTTTTTTAAATTTTTAATTGAGATATTACTGACATAGAACATGTTAGTTTCAGGCATACAACATGATGATCCAATGTATGCATATATTGCAAAATGATCACCGCAATATGGAGTTAACATTTAGCACCTCACATAGTAACAATTTGTTTTCAGTGAAGACTTTAAGATGCACTCTCTTGGATTCTTGAATGCTGACAAAAACTGAGGACGGATGGATGTGGGGGGGAGGGGGGGTTGGGCATGGAGGAGGACACTTGTGGGGATGAGCACTGAGTGTTATGTGGAAACTAATTTGACAATAAACTATTTGTAAAATAAATAAATAAATAAATAAATAAAAATAAAAACACACACACACAATAAAGTAGAGCTAGTATAAGCCAAAAAAAAAAAAAAAAAAAGATGCACTCGCTTGTTCACTTTTAAATATACAGTACAGCATTATTAACTATAGTCACCATGCTGTACATTATATCCCCTTATAATTATTTTATAATTGGAAGTTTGTACCTTTTGATCACCTTCACCCACTTTGCCCACCTTCCATCCCCATTTCTGATAACCCCCCAATCTGTTTTTCTTAACCTATGGGTTCAGGGTTTTTTTTTGGAGGGATGGGTAAGATTCCATATATAAATGATACCATATGGTATTTGTCTTTCTCTGACTTATTTCACCTAGCATAATTCACTCAAGGCTCATCTGTGTTGTTGCAAATATCAGGATTTCCTTCTTTTTAAAAGCTGAATAATGTTCTATTGTACACATATGCCACATTTTCTTTATCCATTCAGTGAACACTTATGTTGCTTCCATATCTTGGCTATTATAAATAATGCTGCAGTGAACATGGGAATACAGATCCCTTTTCGAGTTGTTATTTTTGCTTCCTTCACATAAATATCCAGAAGTGAACTACTGGATCATAGGACTACTGTTTTTCATTCTTTTAGCAACCTCCATACTATTTTCCAGAGGGACTGCACTGATTTACACTCCCACCAACAATGGACAAGGGTTCCCTTTTCTCCACATTCTCATCAACACTTATTTCTTGTAATTTGATAGTAGCCATTCTAACAGGTATGGGGTGATATCTTATTGTGGATTTGATTCACATTTCCATGATGGTTAGTGGCGTTGAATACCTTTTCATGTGTCTGTTGGCCATCTGTGTGTCTTTGGACACAAATGTCTATTCAGATCCTTTGCCCATTTTTAAAGTAAGAATTTATTTGCTATTGTGATATATGAATTCTTTCTGTATTTTGGATATTAACCCCTTATTAGATACATGATTCTCAAATGTTTTCTCCTTTTGGTATGTTGCTTTTTTGTTTTGTTGATGGTTTTCTTTGTCGTGCAGAAGGTTTTTAGTCTGATATAGTCCTGGTTTATTTTTGTTTTCGTTGCCTATGCTTTTGGTGTCCAATCCAAAAATTTGCCAAAACCAGTGTCAACAAGTTTACCACCTGTTTCCTTCTAGGAGTTTTATGGCTTCAGATATTATATTCAAGTTCTTATTTTGTTTGGACTTGATTTTTTTGCCTGGAGTATGATAGCATGCATGTTTCATTCATGCTTGTGACTGTCCAGTATTCCTAACCCCATTTATTGAAGAAACTGTCCTTTTCCCATTGCACATACTCGGCTTCTTTGTCTTAAACTGATCATATATGTGTGGGTTATTCCTAGGCTCTTTGTTCTTTTCCATTGATCTGTATATATGTTTTTATGCCAACACCATACTGTTTTGATTATAACTTTGTAATATAGTTTGCAATCAGGATGTGCGACACCTCCAGTTTTGTTATTCTTTCTCAAGATTGATTTAGCTTTGTGATGTTTTTTTGTAGTTCCATACAAATTTTAGGATTGTGAAAAATGTTATAATTCTTCAGTGTCTTGCAATGTCTTATAAGTCTTCAATGTTTTTCATGAGTGTCTTATGGTTTTCTTTCTTTTCTCTATGGTTCCAGCGTACAGGTCTTTTAAAATTGATTATAGTTGGGGTGTCTGGGTGACTCAGTTGGTTACGTGTCTGACATCAGCTCAGGTCACAATCTCACGGTTCATGTGGTCGAGCCCCATGTTGGGCTCTGTGCTGACAGCTCAGAGCCTAGAGCCTGCTTCAGAGTCTGTGTCTCCCTCTCTCTGCCTCCCCCATGCTCGCATGCATGTGCGCACTCTCTCTCAAAAATAAACATTTTTTAAAAAATGTTAGCACAGAGGCCAGTTATGCGGTCTAGAAATAATTTGTGTTGCAAAGATATATGTAGCTCCTGATGCACAGTGCTCTTAATGCCATCATTCTGCCTGGAGCCATCCTGACTCATTCTTTGCATTGCCATTCACATTGAATTAACATACATTCAAGACAAAAATATCTTCCTATTACCTTAGGAATAATACTCATTTATTTTTTGCTGTTAATATTCGCTTATCATACAATTTTATTAATGCAGGTAACATTCATTCTAAACGGTAGTAGCTTTAGGGCCACCTGGATGGCTCAGTGGGTTGAGCATCATGATCTCACAGTTTGAGTTTGAGCCCCATGTTGGGCTTTCACTGACAGTATGGAGCCTGCTTGGGATTCTGTCTCTCCCTCCCTCTACCTCTCCCTCACTCACACTTGTGTGCATGCGGACGCTGTCTTTCTCTCTCTCCCCCTTTCAAAATAAATAAACTTTAAAAACTGTAGTAGCTTTATTTTTAGGAGAAACACTAGGTGATTTCACATAAGGGGTAAGAGCACATCCTCAAGGGCCCTGCTGCCTGCATTTGAATCGCAGCTCTGTCGCTTATTAGCTTTATAACCGCGGACATGTTACTTCTCTATGCCTCATTTTTCTGATAAGTAAAATGGGAATAACAGCACCTTCTAGGACTGCAGTGGGAAGGAAAGGATTAATCCACATCAAGTACTCAGAACAGGGCTCGGTCCATACAACCCATGCTAGGTAAGTAGAAGACGTTATGATTAGCTCTTATTTTTGATTAACTAAGAAAATGATTCATGCTATAAGATTTGAGCCTAGATACTGAATCCAGTACTAAGATATGTGATCGTGCTTGAGGAACTTCTCATGAGCTAAGAAACAAGCACTAGCATATATCCTAGGGAACCAAGACAAGTAAAAGCACAAGAATGAAATCTTGGGTTCTAGTCGTGGCCGCACCACCAACCCGCAGTGTGACTCTGGGCTTTGCTTCCTTCATCTGTGCCACCAAAATTCATCTACGTCTTCCCTAAAACTCCCAGGCTCTCAGACTCCATAATGCCTCGAATTCACATCTTTTTGTTCTGTCAGCTAAGTAATCCTACAAGTCTGAACAGAAACAAATAAGTATCTGTAAACTAGTTTTCATGGGATTAAAAACTTTTTTTTCAGAATCATTGAAGTATTTATTTATTATGTTTAAAAACATTTTTTTTTGTTTTTTATAGTTCTTAACATTTTATTTATTTATTTTACAAATAGTTTATTGTCAAATTGGTTTCCATATAACACCCAGTGCTCATCCCCACAAGTGCCCTCCTCCATGCCCAGCTCCCCCCATCCCCTCACCCCCACCTGCCCTCAGTTTGTTCTCAGCATTCAAGAGTCTCTCATGGGGGCGCCTGAGTGGCTTAGTCGGTTAAGCGTCCAACTTTCGCTTAGGTCATGATCTCGCGGTTCGTGGGTTCGAGCCCCGCGTCAGGCTCTGTGCTAACTGCCAGCTCAGAGCCTGGAGCCTGTTTCGGAGTCTGTGTCTCCCTCTCTCTCTGACCCTCCCCTGCTCATGCTGTCTCTCTCTCCTAGAAATAAATAAAAAAAAAAAAAAAAAAAAAAGAGTCTCTCATGGTTTGCCTCCCTCCCCCCAACTATTTTTCCCTTCTTCTCCCACATCGTCCTCCATTAAGCTCCTCCTAATCCTCCTATACGTACAAACTGATCTTTGACAAAGCAGGGATTAAAAACTTTTTGAAAAATCACACGGATGGGTCCCAAAGTCCAAACTACAAACTTGGGTGGCTTTGTTCCTTTGACACATGTCCTGTGTGAACACAGTAATAAGCATTCCACCTAACGCGAGAGAGACCAGTTCAAGAGCCTGTGCAGGATTTTGCAATACACAGTCCTGGGATCCAGCCTAACCCTCTTGGGTCAGACCACCCATGGGATTCCGGGCCTGTGACTCCATTTCTAATCCTGATACCCTCATATTGACAGTGTGATATCCCCATAAATAGCTTCTCAGGAAAATACAAAATTGGTGGTACATCATTTCAAGTAAAATGAAAATAATGACTTGATTTCTAAGATTATTGGACTTTGGAGAAATTTGTTTTATCTGAGATGCCTAAAAGAAAAAATCATGGAAAATGACAGAATGATGGTGTTTTACACACTGATTTATTTTAAATCATAATACATAAGAAAATGTATAATGTCTTACAAAGCATTTGATAAATAGTTTTAAATACAATTTTAAGCTCTAAGTAAAGTCTCTAATTGGAATATATATACACACTTTCAGCCATAAAAGTGGAATTTTTATGGCAGATTTTGGACCTCTAAAGCTACATGCTAGCTAATGGCCAGCTTAAGGACATTAAAAATGTGCATTTATAAAAATGTGAGGAAATTCATGAAAATGTTTTATAAACATGACAAGCATGTACCATATAATGTGGGAGACGTTTTCACGGTCTACTTACAAATAGTAAATCCTGTCTTAGAAAGTTATTATTATATAGTTTCCATTACGCATTCTTGTGTGAACTCTCTTATGTCATCTTCACAAAGAGCGAGCACCGGTTTATGGATCCTGTACATATGAGCACACTGCTTTTTCCCTTGCACAATGCCCCATCGTAAGAATATACTTGGTCTCAGGGACAATCAAAGCATAGCAAAGTGCTGCTTTAGCTGTTTAATTAAATGTTGGGTATCCACATGATCTGGAAATGCTGCTTCAGACTTCTGAGCAGCAACATAGCTTCTCTGGAGATCGCCGATCTGTAAGAAATACCAGAATAAGACCAGAAAAAAATGAGTAAGAATGTAAAAAAAAAAGATGTACTATCTGTACACTGTAGAAAATCAAAGGGTTCTTAAGGGTAAATTGCTTGATTATGCTAATTTGATTTTAGAATCCTTTCACCTAGATTACAATTCAGTCTTGTAAGATAGGAGAAATATAAAATAACCAATTATATAAATTCTGCTCCACTACAGCTGTCTAGTTATGAATTCATAAATCTGTGTTTTCATTTCCCTTTACAGATAGTGTTATAAAAATAAACTAACATTTGCATACTACAACACCAGCTCTCTATCGTTTCACAATGCCTTAGGACAACGATTTATAATGTGCCAAAAAGACATATTTTGGTTAGGGCATTAACTTTTTTTAAAAATTTATTTCTTTTCAGAGAGACAGATACCGTGTGAGCAGGGGAGGGGCAGAGGGAGAGGGAGAGAGAATTGCAGGCAGGCTCCACATCATCAGCACAGAGCCTGATGGGTGCTGGAACTCACAAACTGTGAGATCATGACCTGAGCTGAAATCAAGAGTTGGACACTTAACCCACTGAGCTACCAAGGCACCCCTAGGGCATTTTAGACAGAAAATTCAAGTAAAAACTATTGTATATAAGATACATTAATGGGCACTAGGGTGGCTCAGTCAGTTAAGCGTGGGACTCTTGATTTTTGCTTAGCTCATGATCTCACAGTTGGTGGGCTGGAGCTCCGCCTTGGCCTCTGCACTCATGGCATGGAGCCTGCTTGGGATTCTCTCTCTCTCCTTCTCTCTCTGCCCCTCCCCCATGTGCACATGCATTCTCTCTCTCTCTCTCTCTCTCCCTCCCTCCCTCCCTCTCTCTCAAAAGAAATAAATAAACTTTAAAAAAAAATACTATAACATGTCCAGGGAAGTTTTACAGGGTGCTAGTAATTTGGGGGTTTTAGAAGTTTTTAAGTTATCAGTTGTCTCTGATTTTCAGTAACCTTTTGTGTGAACATCCAGTCGCAAACAAAAGCACATGCAGTATCTGCCTCCATCTGAATAGATCCGGAGTCATGCACACATTTATAAAAAGCAAGAATTTTTTAGTGTGTGTACACACACAAAAAACCTAGATAATTCAAATCTGGTAGGCTTTTTTTTTTTTTTTGAAACCTATAATGCATATCAAAAACATGAGTTTCTTTTTTTAAAATATCATAGCATTTCTTTTTAACATACTGTTTTCTCTTACGGAAAGCATAGCCTTTTGCGTAAAGAAGTATCTCATTTGAGTTATAGATTATTAAAATGTGATGAAGGGAAAGGAAGGTATCAAACCTTTGTGATTTAACTAAGTGGCAGCACAGTGCAGTGGAAAATGCAAGGGCTTCGTTGGGGGCTGGCTACAAATTCTGGACCTTCCATGGCCATGTGACTCCAGGGGGCTCTTTTAAGCTGGAGCAGCTGAGGGGCGCCTGAGTGGCTCAGTCGGTTAAGCATCTGACTTCGGCTCAGGTCATGATCTCATGGTTCGTAGGTTCCAGCCCCGCATCGGGCTCTCTGCTGACAGCTCGCTCAGAGCCTGGGGTCTGCTTCGGATTCTGTGTCTCCCTCTTTCTCTGACCCTCCCCTGTTCATGCTGCCCCTCTCTCTCTCAGAAATAAATAAAACATTAAAAAAAATTTTTAAAAAAAGAAAATGACAGCTTATGAATGACAACTTATACTTATTTCCAAAGCAGAAATGAAAGAGAGGATAGCCTCATGTTCATGCTATAAAAAATGACATTTTTATAATGTCTTCTGCTCTATAAAGAGTCTTTACACAGCAAACATTTTTAGCCATTTCCTTATCCTTGAAACTTACCTTCCTTCCGTGTTAAAAAGAAAGGTTTCTAAGCAAAATTTATTAGATTCCTTTTATCTGTTTTTCTTGTTATTGAAAAGGGCACTCCTTTTAGCTCTTGGATACTGACTTGCAACACAGTATTAACAGCTGTATTTTCCCCACATTGTTCACAGTGAAAATAGCTTTTACCCACATCCCTAACTTTATGGCAATAATGACGACTTGATGGCGTCTATAATAATATACAGGATTTCTTTGTGATAAAAGCCAATTACTAAATCCTTCCTCAACCAGGCATTAATGAGTATTTTTTCATGATTAAATGTCATGTTTTAAAAATAAAATAATTCTGTAATCTCTAATGCAATCTACAATATTAAGTTTATTCCCCCAGTGATAAATTTCTTTACAGTGTATTAAACTATCCCTTGAAGAGAAAGACATGTGTATGTGTTTAAAAAATTGTTTTTTTCAAAATGTTAGAATTTTCTTGTCTGCATTTTAAAATCCAAGATAGAAAAAGAAACAGATCAGAGGAGGAACTGATAAAGAGAATACCTTATCAGAGACTGTTGCAAAATTAAAATGTGGCTCGTACATATGGGGTGCTAAGGATGAGGCCGTTTGTAACAGTGCTCTTGCCTGTATTTAAAAAAAGAAAGAAAAGAAAACCAAGGATGAGCATCTATCAGTGCTATATTTGTAATTATGTTTTTGGGTTTTTTTGTAAAACAGTCCTTATTCAAGATAGGACCTTAATAAACATGATCCTGTAATAAATACAGATGACCCTCCTCATGAAATCCGACTTACTGAAATACAATATTTATCTTACCAAAATTATATTAATAATAAAGTTGCTTCAAATATGAAGATAATTAAGAGTAGATATAAGTAGAGAACCATTGTTTCTGTAAAGTTTATATTTCAATATGACAAACAAATCAAAATATAATCCTCTCAATGCAAAAGGAAGTCTTATTAATCTAGGCTTATTGCTGTTGATTGATTTCTTAGGCTTCTAATTACTCGTTCTCTGATGCTACATCAAAAACAATTTTAAAAACCATAGTTAATTTCTAAGCCCCAAGTTCTGGGCTGGAGGATGATGATGAGCATTTATTACACTGCTGACCTCTTGATAACAGGTGAATGCAACTGAAAATGATAAGCTTTCTGTTCTCTCATGTACTCAAAAAGCAAAATTCGCATCATTTTTCATCCCCTATAGGCTCAAATGATCATGCATTGCAGGGACCCATTGACAGATGTGAGATGCTCACATGTTCATTGTTAGGACCACAAACTCCCCATTCCACGTTGCTGAACATCCTCTGACGTGTAGCTAAACCCAAAACCTCCCTCCATGACCTGTGGACATATCTGTGCATCTTTTTTTTTAATGGAAAATAACATATGGGATGGTAGATACTGATATTTTTTTGTTTTATGATTAGCTTTTTTTCTTTCAATCGGTGTATATTTTTAAATAATAAAATAGGGGTTAGTAGCATGAAACCTTTCACCAAAACATTTCAAGTCAGTTGAAAACTAGAGAAACTATAATAAGTAGGAAACAAAGAAAATCACCAACTTGAGGACAGAGAAAAATCACAAAAGCACTTGCTTTGTATGGACACAGGTCAAGTTCTGTGGCAGGACAAGTTCCCATTTGGAGTGCAGTTGACCCTGGAACAACATGGGTTGGAACTGCATGGGTCCGCGTGCACGTGGCTTTTCACAATAAATACAGCACAGTGCTATTTGTGTGTGTTTTCTCCCTCATGATTTTCTGAACCACGTTTTCTTTTCTCGAGCGTGCTCTACTGTAGACCACATACATGTAACATACAAAATATTAGTACATATAACACATAAGATAACACAGTACATATAATATACAAGATATGTATTAGTGGGCTGTGTACGTTCCTGGTAAGACTTCTTAGTCAACAGTGGGTTCTTAGTTAGGTTTTCAGGGAGGGTCAAAAGCAAAACTTGAATTTTCAACTACATGGGGGTCAGCACCCCTAATGCTGTGTTGTTCAAGAGTCATCTGTAGTTAGGTTTTGTTTATAAAATGCAAATCTGTCTTATTTGGGGGAACTGGTGAGATAAAGGCAACATCCAGGGATGTTTCTTTCCTTGTTTTGTTACAAGTTTATCTCCGTGGTTAGGAGACCAGGTTGGAGGTTAACATTCCTGCCATGGTGTTTGCTATGTCACTTACCTTCCTGGAGTCCCTGTTTCTTCATCTCTAAAGTTTGGAATGCACTCTTGAATACTGAGAACAAACTGAGGGCTGATGGGGGTGGGAGAGAAGGGAAGGGAGGTGATAGGCATGGAGGAGGGTACTTGTGGGGATGAGCACTGGGTGTTATATGGAAACCAACTTGAAAATAAACTATGAAAGAAAAAGAAATAAATAAAGGGCAGACAAAGCCATAAAAAAGAAAGGTAGGAGACATGCAACTAGTTTTGGAAAAAAATAAACCTTGGTAAGACTTTTTTTTTTTTAATTTGGAATGCAATACTTACCTATCCTTAATTATCACTAATACTGCATAAGTGTATTTAGCCTTGTAAACTTTTATTTATAATAATGTAATTTTTAGGCATTGTGCTCAATACTATGCGGTCATGCCAAGTGTTTTACGTGCATAATCGGCTAAGCCTCCCCAAACGCCTCCAGGTGCTGTTTTTAACCCCATTTTATAGACTGTTCATTCATTTCACAAATACTGGCCCAGCACCTACCACATGCCAGACACTGTTTTTGATGCTGAACATTTGTTTTTGATGCTGGAAGAAAAAGCAGGCCCCTGTGTTTGCAGGGCTGCCAGCCACATCACATACATAGGAACATATCTGATAAAACAAGTCCTGTGAAGGAAAGAATAGGAGATGTGATAGTGCCTGCGGCCTCCTTTAAACCAGTGTCTGGGATGACCTTTGTAGGGAGGGCAATTAAGCTAAGACTCAAGTGACAAAAAGAAAAAGTCACTGCAGGCTCTGAAAGAGGAACATTCCAAAAGCTGTAAAGTAAGAACAGGCACAGCGTGGAGGCAGAGCAGCGAGGAGCTGATGTGCCCAGAAGTCTGGAAGTTGGTGGGAAGGAAGAGGCGGCTGAAGATGTGGTCTGAGAAAGAGCCAGAGGCTAGGTGATGCGGCGCCCTGGAGGCCAAGGTTTGAATCCATATCATTCCAAGCGGAAAGGAAAGAATTTGGAGCATGCTGAGCAAAGTAGTTTAACATTATTGTTTTTATTTACTTTTTTAAGTAGGTTCCATGCCCTGTGCAGAGCCCAACGCGGGGCTTGAACTCACAACCCTGAGATCAAGACCTGAGCTGACATCAAGAGTCGGATGCTTAACCAACTGAGCAACCCAGGTGCCCCAAATCATTCTTGTTTTAAAAAAAAAAAATCCCGGGGCTCCTGGGTGGCTTAGTCGGTTAAGCATCCGACCTTCGCTTAGGTCATGATCTCGCTGTTTGTGGGTTCGAGCCCCGCGTCGGGCTCTGTGCTGACTGCCAGCTCAGAGCCTGGAGCCTGTTTCAGAGTCTGTGACTCCCTCTCTCTCTGACCCTCCCCTGCTCACGCTGTCTCTCTCTCTCTCCTAAAAATAAATTAAAAACATTAAAAAAAAAAATTTTTTTTTTAAATCCCTTCAGGGGCACCTGGGTGGCTCAGTCAGTTAAGGGTCTGACCTCAACTCCGATCATGATCTCACAGTCTGTGAGTTCGAGCCCCGCATCAGGCTCTGGGCCGACAGCTCAGAGCCTGGAACCTACTTCAGATTCTGTGTCTCCCTCTCTCTCTCTCTGCCCCTCCCCTGCTCATGCTCTGTCTGTCTGTCTCTCTCTCTCAAAAATAAAATAAAAACATTAAAGAAAAATCCCTTCAGCTGTTGTGAGGAGGATGTGCTACAGGGTACAATTACTTACTGACAAAAGTGGAGACAAAGACCAGCTAGGTGACTCTCGTAGTAGAGTCCAGGCAGGAGAGCACAGTTTGGAGAAGGGTGGCCGAGGTGGAGAAAAGTGGCTAGGTCTGGGATGTGACCTGGAGAAAGCACTGCCAGGGCGTGCAGACATGATGGGTGGGGGATGGGGGGGAGAGGTGGCAGGAACAGAGAGCTTTCAAGGGTGGCTCCTAGGATTTTGGCATGAGCACCCAGCTGGTGGATGGGGGACTCTGAATGGTGTCACAGTTCACTAATATAGCGAAGACTTGGGACTGTATAGATTTGTCCTAACAAAACCAAAGGTTAAGAAAACAAACAAAAAGGTTAAGTAACTTGTTCAAGGTCACATCACTAATACGTGACAGGGCTGGGATTCAAATCCAAGCCAGTGAGACCCTAGAGCTCATTTTTAAACTGTGGCATGTAAAGATGGCTACCCCTGACGGCTTTTCTGTGGAGAAAAATGATCCACTGGGCCACCGTAGTTCACTGACCTGCTCCACGTGGCCCTTCCGCATCTCCAGCACAGCCAGGTTGTTATAGGCCTCTGCGTGGTTATTGTTGTTGACCAGAGCGAGCCTGAAGCACTGATGGGCCAAATTCGTATCTCCGATGCCCTTGACAAGAAAAGCATGTATTGGCACACACAGATCCATACGCTTCCTCCCTTCTTTCCTCACATAACTCTTTGCTGCTACCAAGCAACAAGTACCGATCAGGATCAAGTATGAATTGTAGGTAAGAGGATTTAACTTGAGAAAATAAAATGAGTTCTGGTGATCCTCAGAAATCGCTACCTAAGACCATAACCAAACCCGGATGGACAGTATCTGAAAATGTCTTCAGACTAACGTATGGCTACCTTTCCTGCACCGGAAATTACATCAGAGGGAAATAACCTACCACAGCCACGTGTCCCAAGTTGTACCAAACATCAGCTGCCTCTTCTTCGTTTTCAGCCAGAGCAAGGGCACGTTCAAATGAAGTCAGAGTCATATCATACTGCTGGGCATAGAAGCAGCAGAGCCCCAGATTGTTAAAGAGCTGGCAGTTATAGACACCCATCTGCAGGAGTCGCCTTTGAGAAAAAGAGCATATTTTGGTGTCAGACCAACTTGATAGATATTAAGACCTATTTTTGTTTTACAAAGTTAGAAATGAATGTTTTACAATTTTTAACATCCCCAAAGAACAGAAATAGAAAGTATTAGAGTAAATGAAAAAACATTCAGCAAATACAAAAGTGTGTCTATTTAAAATCTTTTTAAAATGTTTTATTTCTGAGAGAGAGAGACAGCGTGAGCAGGGGAGGGTCAGAGAGAGAGGGAGACACAGAATCCGAAACAGGCTCCAGGCTTGGAGCTGGCTGTCAGCACAGAGCCCGACGCAGGGCTCAAACCCACGGAACTGTGAGATCATGACCTGAGCTGAAGTCAGACGCTTAACCAACTGAGCCAGTCAGGCGCCCCGAAGCGTGTCTATTTTAATGGTACTAGCCATGGGAAATGTGTGCAGAGGACAAAGTCGGAAACAACTTCCGTAAGTTTTTTGCCCCTAAAAGCTCTGTTAGAGAACCAAAATATGAAAGAGTCACCTAAAGCAAAACCCACAGCATTTTGCTTCATAAAGGTCTGGTGACTATCAGTAAACCCCTAATACCTTCTCATCTAATTTGAGGGCTGTGTTTAGGATATACCTCAAGTTTTCAGCTGAACTGAATTTTGGTTTTGGTTATCTGTACTTGGTGGTTTAGTGATGTCTAGGGGCCTTCTGATGAGCTTCCATCGAGGAAGACAAGACCATCAGTGGATCCCTGCATTATCCACTAAGCTTTCATGCTAGGGCTCAAAAAACCCATTTGCTTCTATGCATCATTAATCCCAAAGGACAATGGACAATGGAGTTCAAATAAGCCAAGGAAAATCCACCCCAGATGCCCTGAGGAACCCATGACCCATTTGGGGGACGGGGGAATAGAGTCAGCTGCATGTGCCTAAGGCAGCATTCATTTTTATCATATTTTAGGCTTCTAACATATTTGTAAAGAACTCTTGTCAGCTGCCAGTTATCTCCTGGTATTACCTAGGGCTGGAAGAGAAAATCAAAATTTAAAAATAAATCTCAGAAGGCAGAGAAGGACAAATATCATATGTTTGCACGTATAGGAGGATTAGGAGGAACTTGACGGAGGACCAAGGGGGAGAAGAAGGGGGGAGATGGTGGGGGAAAGGGAGAGAGGCAAACCATGAGAGACTCTTGAATGCTGACAAAAACTGAGGCCAGATGGATGAGGGGGGGAGGGGGGACGGGCATGGAGGAGGGCACTTTGGGGATGAGCACTGAGTGTTATGCAGAAACTAATTTGACAATAAACTATTTGTAAAAAAAAAAAAAAAAAAAAAAAGTACTACTCCGCAGTCAGTCAAGTAAAATAGGTTCATGGATTGAAAACTGGCTCTCACACTATTTCTTTTATTTAATTTTCCCAACCTCCAGTCATTGCCTCCGGTCATTGCCCACTATTTTTATATTTCTGTGTTTTTCCACATATGGTTTTCTTTGGGACATGGAAAGTCTCCCTTATCCCCTCAAGAGACTGTGCATCCATTTAAACCAATTTCAAACCTTTTCTCTTTGGAAAAGTATTTCCCATGCTATTTTCCCCTCAATAATCTCTCTCCTCTTTGAGTTCAGCTCTTTTTTGTCTCCAGTGCTCATCTGGGAATTTGTTTTTCTCTGTTATTGTTGGAATTAGGTGTTCTTTACCTGACTGTCTGTCCTAAAACAGAGGTACCATGTCTACTGCTGTCTTCTATCTGCCACTCTTGATTTAAGGCTTACATGGTAAAATTTTGTTACTTAATTGCTGGATCTAAATTTCAGTGAATAGTTTTATTGTTCCAGTTATGCTTAAATATATATTCCTCCACCTAGATGTCAGAGTCATTACATATGGAGAGAGTGGTTTACCTTTGCCATGTTA